GTGGTGGAAAAGTAGCTGATGCCAGTATCCCAAGGCAATTGCAGTCTATCAATCAATTGTAGAAGAAACCCAGAAACTATTTTTCTCCAGTTATCAATGATTAAGTATTAAGTCAGTATCTCTCTCATTGCAGGATTTTATCATTTGTGTTGAGATGTTCCTGGCTGCTATTGCGCATCACTACAGTTTTTCCTATAAACCTTATGTTCAAGAAGCGGAAGAAGGGTCATGCTTTGACTCTTTTCTTGCGATGTGGGATATTTCTGATATAAGAGCAGATATATCAGAACAGGTTCGAAATGTTGGTAAGTAACAGACAGATTTGTATGATCTGTTAACAGCATATGTGTTTCTAGCTTCATTTTACACTATTACCCATCTCCATAGTACCTTGAGAACATTCCATACCAAATTAGTGGCAGCTGCATCCCTAGAGGATTTCAGGGTTTATCTGGCACTTTGCTCTTTCCAGTACTCCTGACTCATTTAGAGTCTAGTTTTTATTTTTTCTTTTAAATAGATGGATCTTGGGGTAAGTTTCAGGTATGTTAGGTAGAAGGGAGGGATGTCCTTTTTGTTTTTTGTTTTTAAATGGAAAGACATCCTTTTATTAAAGCTAACAATGCCCATGTAAAACTGTTATAAACCAAAGACTCATCATCTAATTTAACATGCCTATTTTAGAGTTATGTCTTCAAAGACCTTGGTATAGTGCTGTATTAAAAGTATTAAAAAGTATTTTCATTTGGCATAATTCTAGGAAGGACAGTTTTGGGCCAGCCAAGGAAAATGTTTTTTACTGAGGATCATGAACAAAACGAGCATACAAGTTTACTGTCTTCATCTACTCAAGACCCAATTTCTGATGCTTCTTCAATGCCATCTTCACCCATGGGTCATTATCAGGGGTTTGGACACACTGTGACACCTCTCACAACACCAACGACAGCCCCTGCAGTCGATGGTATTTATAACACTTCGGCTATTCGAGACGCTGAGGAGTCACCCGAACTAGAGCACAATTTATCAGAGAAAGCTTTGGATAAAAGTTAGACTCACTTGTTTGAATGTGTCAAGGAGTCTGTTACGTACTTGCCACACACATTCTGTTAATATGTACTATTGGTGATGAAAGTTGAAAAGCCTAGAAAAGCTACTGCGCAGGCAGGAAGAGGATACGGCTGTAACCGACATCTGAATTATGAATCTATAATGGATGTGAGTATCTGTGAGTACCCCATGAATATAAAACACGCACACTAAAGGTTGCTGCAAAAATTTAAGAATCAACTCCTTAAACTGCTGAACACTTACACATCATGTCAGAATTACACTGACTTTTATTAATACAAAAGAAACATTTGAAAAAAACGCTCTTCTAAAGATGAAGTGTAAGTACTACTAGCAATGGGAAAACTTAATTTCAAGAATGTAATTTAAGGAGGGCAGTAGCAAAACGTGTTTGTATTAGCTTTGGTTGTCCTCTTAATGATGGTAACTTCCACACCCCAATGCTGAATGGAGTGTGGACGAAATGTAACTTCTGTACAGATGCCATCTTCTTTCCTTTCCTGCATTGCTAAATAAAACCCCTTCATGAAGATAATTATTACAGAGCATCAGTAAAGAATCTATACAAAGAAAGCATTCCCTCCAGGCTTCACTGTAAAATTCCATGCCCAGAACATATGGTTGGTGTATCTGTTGTCCTTGTAGCTCATAATTTATAAGTGGTTTACATTCAGAAGAGACAGCCAGGATGATAGGTTTTTGGATTAATACCTTACACTTGACTACTTTTTTTCCATCCTTCTAAAATAAGAATAACGGTTACTATCTTAAAATACATGGGAGGGCGGAGTAAAGGATGTCAAAAAGGAAGTAGAAAACAAAACTGATTTCTTTATTTTGGGCTGCAATGAATTCTTTAACACTTAAGGTTTTTTTTAAGCTGTTAAAGCAGGATATCTTGGCAATGTGTCTGTAGTAATTTGTATTCATAAATTTTTGTGTTTGTGATTATTGTATTATGCTTCTAGTATAGCCTAGATTCCAATGTAATAGTTGATTTTTTTTTTTTTCCCCCACCACCCCAGAAAAGACCTTTGCTAAGGTAAAACTAAGTAGCTAGTCTAATACTGGAGTTGCTAGCATTAGATTTCAGACCAAGAAGAAGTACACTTGGATCAAAATGTTATTTTGCAAAAACCTGACAAAATCAGAGGGGTATTGTTTTTATCCCATTACCAGATTTTTACTACTATTGCATGTTTGCAATCTGACAAAAACAAAAACAACCTAGAGCACTGACCTTTTCAGTGATATCTGAAGTTTCTTTTTCAGCATTGTTAGCATTTACAGAATAAAAGTTTAACTTCTGGCTGTCACAGTAAATTCAGCTGAAGTGCTTTTTTTGCAGTACTAGTGTGATGTAAATATTGCGCCTTACTCACTAGGCTGCATATTTTATAGCTGACTATGTACTTGCTGTATCTGAAGTTAGTAGTGGGAAAGTGCAAATCATAATTTTCAATTTGCCAAGTCATTGCCTTTGTTGTAAATAAGCAATTAAAGATTTTATTTAAACTGTTCACCTTCTTTCAATTTGATTTACTGCTACAGTAATTTAGAGTGTGAATGACACGTGAATACAACTGTCCTCTTCATGGAAGAAGGGGATCGTAAGCGTAACTAGAACAAGAGTTTGTGCTTTCAGTATTTTAAGGCTTGTACTGAAAAGGGAATTCTTGTTTGAGCTTATGAAGATTCAGAATCTACTTATTTCTGCTTGATTCCAGGTATCATTAGCCACATAATAGCCATGTTCTAAAAGGAAACAACTTGTAAAAGCTCATAACACCTGAGGACTTCAGTGCCCCCTGTAGCCACTATTAGAAATAATCTGATTTCCTGCACGTATACAGGTAAAAAGGGGCAGTGGTAGAAGTAATATCTGAAGGATCAGAGCTGATGGAAGCTAAGTAGCTACTATGCTCTAGCTTTTCAAAAACCTCACGCTGAAGAATTTTATTTTTTTTTTAATACTTGAAGTTATGTCTGTTTGGTGTAAAACTTCAGTAAGGTACAGAGAGGGGACTTTGACAGGAAAACAGCTAGTCAGGTGTCTTGGTTGTTTCTTTCACAGCATTTCTAGAAAGCTACTACATTATTCTATTACTACTCAGTTATTCCATGTGCATAGTATTCCTGCATTTTTTTTTTCTGGGAGAAAAGTTATTTTTTCATTGCAGTAGCTTATAGGATCATACCTTTCCATTAAAGATTGCTACTGAATTTCCAAAATAAATAGTCTTTCCATGACACCTACCCTGTCTTTTGAAAACTACTACAACAGTATTCCTCAGCATGACCTATCAAGTTTATTTTAAAAGCTCATTTGCAAGTAGCCCTTCATTGTTACGTTAGCCGTATTTGTTCCTCCATTGTTTTATGCCTAATCTCCCAGCTTTTAATCGGAAGTCTTAAAGATTACTCTTGCCTTACTTAACACACTGAAAACTCAGTAAAGGTCATTTTCAGCCCTTTACTTCGTCTCATTGAGTTAGTGTAGAATATGTCCCTAATTTTTCTTTAACTCATTTTGCTGTCTTATTAATTGCTAAAAAGCGTAATAAATATGCCTAACCACTATTACTTAATGTTTTTGCTTTTATCAGAGGTCTTCCAGCATGAGAAGCCTGAACACTCCTCTATAAAACTGCACTTTGGTGAAAATATCCTGCACCTACTAGGTTTAGTTGTGTCAGACAGTAACTTCGATTTTACGGTTTTGTTTGGGTTTGGGGGGGGGGTTGTTGTTTTTTTTTTTTAAGAAAAGCTGTTTTCTATGTAGTATGAAAAGCCTCTGTCCTACTCTAATTCACTTTATGCATTGTACCCCTTGGATAAAGGATGGTATCCAGTTACTTTATCTTCAGAAAACTTGACTTAGTTGACTGTTACCTCTGTTTTGAGGAAAAAAAGAAAAAAAAAAAAAATTGGAGACCTTTCCTCCACCCTTCCAGAAGGAGCTTTATTACAGCAGTCGATCAGGCGCAGGTTCAGCTGCAGGCAGGGACAACCACAGAGCTCCAGCAGTCCCTGAAGTTAAACTGAGAGAGCCTGTCTGAAACATTTGACCTAACGAAGACTACATATGGATCTTGCATGCAGTGAGATTCTAGAAGAATTATTTGTGGGTGGCTCTTCATACAGGCTGCTGTTAAGGAAAGATCACGGAAATGCCTCGTCTACATTGAATAGACAGCACAGTGTAAAGAAACTTAGCTACAGAAATATCTTGTAACAGTCTTCCTCGTATCTCTACAGAGGTAGAGTCAATGTCAGTTAGAAGCCTTTGTTAGTCTTCCGTTTGGATATAAATTTAATAGAAGGAACTTGTTACCTGCATTATACCAAAATAATAGAATGCTGTAGAAGAGATGCAGGAGTACTGTGGTGACTGATGTAATATTTTATACAACTCTCACATAGACAAGAGTTCAGGCCCATTATATTACCAGAAATGATTCTAAGAAGTTTACTAGCTTTACCTTCCACCTGCAACTTGAGGTACTCAACAGCACTCCGTTTCAACTTTTTATAATTGTCTATGTGCAACGCTAACTTGTGATACTGCAACTGGAATGGCGTTACAGTCCCTACTACAAGGCTAACATCTCAATGCACTTAAGTAGGATGCTTTGGCAACTGAGAAGTGGAACTACAGTTTGAGAAACAAGGACTCTATCCTGAACAGCCACAGCTGTTATTTCTGGTACAAGCATCTGGATGCTTTTTGTCTTACTACAGATGATACGGTAGCAAGAGCAGTCTGCCCCACTGTTGTAGTCACTGCAATAGCTAGCACTCAGGTTTTTGCTGCAGTGGAGACAATACCTCCCCTAACTGCTTGGTAAGATACCCGTACAGTGCAAGTTTTAGTCCATCAGTGGAACCTAAGTATCTACTATTAAAGTAACAAAATAGCCTTTTTGATCAGTAGATAAAATTTAGACTTTAATATATATTAACATCAGTGATGTTATGAACAGTCAATTTATGCATAGGTAATGAACCACAACTCAGTTTACACGTGACATTCTTCACCGTTTAACTGTAATGCTAATATTGCTTTTATGGTGTTGAACATCAAGCACCAGTTCATTTCCAACCTGAACTTGGATGGGCTCATCGAGAACAACTGCAGCTTGTTTCCAGTGCGAGGACTCATCCGATGTATTCAAGCTATGGTCTTCATCTAGATGGATGTGATACCAGAAGGGAATTGCAGTGACTTGGCCAGACTTACAAATTTGTACCTAAAAATATATAAAATATTAATCAGTTACACCCTTTTCAAAGGAGTAAGAAAATAAAGTAGTTCAAACCATTTCAATCCATTGCAGAGATACCTGCAGACGAGTAAATTCTGTACTGAAATTTTCAGCCACAGTGAGCAATTAATGTGCAGCTCTGCAGAACAGCAGTTAAGTGCACTTCTAACTTCATGTATACACAACTCACCTTCACTTCTCTGCTGGAGCTGTTCAACAGAGGGTTCATGAGATCTAGCCTTAAAAGCTCTGCTGGCTTGCTCAAGGGTAGGCACGGTAAAGTGGAGAGATCCAAACACACACGAACAGGTACCTAGGAGTATATACTATAACTTCAGGCATCAACAGCCATTAAATAGTGGAAAGTTAAAAGACTTAATCACAATGCAAAAGTTTCTAGGAATTGCCGTAATGCCTGTAAGAGACAGCCAAAATGCAAAATACACCCTTCTAATCCCTTTGAAATGTGACTGTTGGGATACAAGGCAATGAAGGAGATAGTAACAGCACAGTCACTCTTCCGTACAGTAACACTGCATCTTTCATTACTCAGACAAAACTTCTCCCACACCAGTTCCAAAGCAAATGTTACCCATTTTAGTTTATCTCAAGGTCCCTGTCTGGTCACATAAACCTCTCTTGATAACTTCGACAATATGAAAAAGTTTCAGCTCTTCAGTTTTCTTGCAGTTTACACCAAAACTAAACAGCTAGACAGCTGCAGGCTTTGGAACTGTGCCTGGAAGACACCCACCAACTTCATACCTTGAACTGGTTGATAAAAGGGGCTATATTAAACCCAAGAGTTGGTTCTGTTCCTTGAACAGCACTCTCCAGTAACAGAGACTCTGATTCTACAAGCATCCCATATACCAGCACGTACTGTGGGAAAATCTTCCCTCCACTGTGAAGTAAACATCTGTAAAATGAGAGAGATTTCACCTCTAAAGCATATCATTCAACAGGAATGAAAGAACATTTAACTACATTTACGAAAGGCACACTAGTTCTTCCTCTGAAGTCAAGTGCTCATAAGCATTTGAGTTTGATCCCATTTGACCAGACAGCTGTATCATCCAAAAAAGGAAAGCTTGTCACGTAATACTAAAACTATGGAACTAAGTAATCTTTTCTCAGCGTCAGTATTGGAAATGGTGGTATTTCGAGGTGCAGATAGTGGGATTTATTCATAGCACCAGCATCTAATACTGAAGGACTGGCAGAAATGCTTAACAAAACTGGAAGTCGGGAAGTACATACTGTTGGGGGGCACTGGTTAAGGAGGCAGCATACCCACAGGGAAACAAAACCTGGTGGGAATTTAAGTCACCTTTCTTTAAGTGTTTGACTAAAGTTGACAGCAATACAGGAGACAGCATTTTTTCCTGAAAAAACACCTGAGCCTTGCTTGGTCTCTTGATACAGAATATCACGCTGCTGAGAGCAGCAACACGATAGAAGCTTTCATTCAGTGTAATATCAAACACCTCCAATTCAATACAGATTGTTTTAGGTTTCCTTTTCCTATAGCAGGCCTCTTTTCATAGGAATTGGGTAGCTAAGTAGTGCGCTGTTGGATATATTTTCATGCCAACAGATTTGAGTCTGCATATGACAAAAGTCAAGAGTAATTTCCCATTTGTTCTAACAGAAAAAAATAAATCTTTCAAGTCATCCAAAAATTTATTCAAAACTTCGGAAAGGTAATGAACATAAATTTGCTGGAATATTCTGCCATCACTAAGCATGAAGATGAACAGAGAGGATTCCCTAGCACCACAAAAGGGGATAAACCCATTTCACATTGACTTTTTTTGCTACCCATTTCCATTATTTTATTTCTCTCGCTCTGCATTCCTTCCCACCCCTCCTGCCGTGGGTAACAGCTAGCTTTGTTGCTGCCTCCCTGGCTGTTCTAACACCATGTGTTTGTCTTTCAGCAGTCCATTTGTTCCAACAACAGCTGGACATGTAAATGAATCTGGGTTTTTCTAACCTTGCACTAAAAGCTACCTCAGCTATTACTAAGATGCCGGCTATCCTGGGAACTTCTGACAGAGCAAGCAGTAAGATCTTCCATTCCTATTCTTGCATACAAATTATAAAGAAGTCTATGAAAGTGAAATCTTGACGCTTTTTTTAAAAGATACATGTATACAATGGTCACACCAGAAACACTCTGGGAGGTTCAACCGTTCAGAAAACAAGCTTTTCCTGCTCTGCAGAACCAACATGACAGTAATTTTGTAGGTAGAAGTAATATTTTTCAAAACTTTTCAGATAATTACGGATTCCTAGGAATACTTTTGTCCATTTATACTGTACCTGGATATTGCAGCCTTTTCCATCACCTCCTGCTGGATTAAACCTGATGTCTCTATAACATCCAAGATAATAAAACTCCACAATTTGTCTGATTTGGGTCTCTGTAGCACCACACTTTCATCTTCTAAGTGGCTGAGCCAAAACTCTAACGTTTCCTTAGGTAAATGGTTAGCTTCTGAAATTACATTAAGTGCTGCCTGATGCTGTTCTTTCTCAATAGAACTGTAGGCTCTAACTGGTCCAAGTTTGCCAGCTATAATTGGCAGGATGGAGAAGCCTTCAGATACATCTAAAATGTAAAAAGGATCAGGAGCCACATCTAGAGAGCTCTTGTTTTGACTCTCTTGGAGGTTCATCCCACTGCCATGTCCATCAACCTCCATGGACTGCAAGTCCTTACTTGGATTTAATGACAACAGCACTTTGCCCATGGCAGCTTTAAAGCATTCGTGGTACGGTACATTGTTCAGCAGGGCTATTTCTGTGGATTCCAACACACATACTTGACCGCTGCCATCCTTTTCGCTAGTCGTCTGAAGACCAGCCAGAGCATTACATAATTCAGCCTCATTGCCCAAACTCAGTGTGTCGTCTCTGTCACTGAAGTCCATCCCACACTCTGAAGCCAAAGTAGAAATCTTCTGGATCTTCAAGTAGCAGTCTTGGCAGCAAACTTCCATCATCACAGTATCTCCAGTCTTCACAGAATAATCTTGGCAAAACAGCACCAAAAAAAAAGTCATGTCAGTTACTTCACAGCAAACATTAGTGAAGCAGCCATACAGTGCTTAAAAAAAAAAAGCGCATTATCTTCATTAGTTGTTACTAGTGTGTATGAAAGAATTGTTCTAGTCTGTAGCCCACAAGCTGAAATCTGCGACTGTGCGTTAACATTTGCCTTAAACTGTCCCACACTTGAGAATAAGTGGATTAAGCCTAAATAAGCCTTTCTATGATAAACAGATATTACTTTAAGTGTTCTGTCAACAGCAGAGCAGAACAAAAACATACTGCTGAAGAAATTGCTTTTGCTTTAAAATGCTAAATATTAAATATTTATATTTTAATACCTCCTGTTGACAAAGGTAAATTTGTAGTTACACAGAAAACAATAGCTACAGTTTAGAAAGGGTAATTTATTAAAAATAAGTTTTACTGGAACATTTACGGTGTACAGCCCAAGATGGTCTTTGGATACTCTCTGTGTATGTTCTAAGAAAGTAAATCCACTGATACAGACCAGAATTTCAAAACAAGAATGCTATAGTTTGACAAACATTTCTTTCAATGGCAACGTAGGCTAAGAGTCTCTTCCCTCCCCGACACTTTGAGTTGAACCAGCCCATGGCACTGCTGCCCCTACTGTATATCGATACTAAATTCGGAGGAACTGTGGACTACCCTGAGGGTAGAGAGGCCTTACAGAGAGATCTGGATAGACTAGAGAGCAAGTGCTGGATTCTCCACCTGGGACGGGGTAATCCTGGTTATACATACAATTTGGGGGACGAGAGGCTGGAGAGCAGCCCCCTGGAAAGAGATCTGGGGGTTTGGGTGGATGGCAAATTGAGTATGAGTCAACAGCGTGCCTTGACAGCAAAAAGGGCCAAGATGGTGAAAGGCTTTGAGAGCAAGACTTCGGAGGAGCAGCTGAGGTCATTTGGTTTATTCAGCTTGGAGAAGAGGCTGAGGGGTGACCTCATCGCAGTCTACAACTTCCTCAATGAGGGCAGCGGAGGGGGAGATGCTGATCTCTTGTCTCTCTGGTGACCAGCAACAGGACACAAGGAAACAGTATGAAACTGCTTCAGGGGAAGTTCCGATTGGACATTAGGAAAAGGTTCTTCACTGAGAGGGTGGTCAGTCACTGGACCAGGCTCCCCAGGGAAGCAGTCACAGCACCAAGCCTTTCAGAGTTCAAGGAGCATCTAGACAATGCTCTTAGTCATGTGATTCAGTTTTAGGTAGTCCTGCAAGAAGCAGGGAGTTGGACTCGATGATCCTTATGGGTCCCTTCCTACTCGAAATATTCTAAGATTCTATGAAACAGGAGAATGGAAAATGGGTGAATGGAGAGTAGAGGCTGCTGGAAATGACACTGCCACTGTGTGTGTGTGGGGAACAGTATTCAAACTGAGTCCCAAATGGGGGTGAGGGGTAGGCAGGAATGTTTAGTTTTGTTTTTGTGGCAGTAGCAGGTAACAATTCCTACCTCACCTCCCCTACCTCCCTTTCACAAGTCACATCTTGACTAAGTAGAGCCAGTCAGTAGCCCCACTTTTTGGAGTTGCTCCACAATGCATTTAATTCAGTATAGGAATAAACAACTTAATGAAAAGCGTTCTCCCAGATCTTAAGCAGGTCCCTTATCTGCTTCATAGCAGAGTCCCACAAACAAGCTCTGATGCAAGGACTGTGCACTACAGTCCAGAAACATCATCAGGAACCACCTCACAGCTACTTGCTGTTGAACTTCTCCTAAACCTATTTGCTGCCACTTCCTAGTCTCTGAGATAACCTAACTAGCTCAAAACCAACACGAAACCAAGTTAACGTACTGCAACAAGAAAATCCACAGGACGTACCAAGGAGGCCCTGCACAGGATAGACTGCCTGTTCCCAGCAAGTTTCCTCACTGGGACTTGTAGATAGAGCGTTCTCATCATCAAGATGTAGTACAAACCACACCACAATAGCATCTAGTATTCCTCCTTCAGTGACTGGCAGGCTGAGCTTCCAGGGCTTTCTAGCTGCAAGGCTTTTCAGCTCCTGACCAAAGTGGAAAGAGAAAAAAAAGCATGAGAGTTTCTTTCCATAAATAAAATGTGTTTTTTATTACACTAAGTCACCCAAATTTCTGTACCAGTCCATGAGGGCACCCAACAGAAACCTGAAGTTAACAAGCTGCTACAATACCAATTATCATCATTAGTACTCACTAGCATAGGAACCGTCTTCCCACATGCAAGTGCAATTATCCACATGACCAACCTGTATCCATCAGCCATTAGAGCAAACATGCCTACATCTAAGAACATACATATTTAAAAACACTGAAAACTGCAAGAAAGGCTTTAGGCTGGCAAGGCTTGCCTTATGAGAAGTAATAAAAACAGAGCCAGTCTTTGGGCTGGATTCAAGCCAATGCTTAGGCACATGCTTCACTTAAAACCTGTGTTCAATCAGTTCTAGAAATACTGTATGTAAGCACTGAATTTGCTCGAACAGAGGTTCAGCAAAATCATTACAAAAACACTAAGTCAAAGATCTTTGAGGATATTTTCTGTGGTACCTGGGCTATAGGCTTTGTGTAAAAGCTCAGGCATGTACAATTTCACTACCGGGAAGAACTAAGATCTCCCCTAAAGGGATCAGATTATAAATTCTCCAATACTCCTAAAAGGTTTTGAATATGTAACAGGAATTAAGCCTTCTTCCATGTACAATTTTTCTTCAGTAATTACCTTCTGCTACCAACATTCACAAACATAAAAGGCCCAGCTTTAATGTCTTAGACAGTTCTGGCATAAACCAATTAACAGGAGGTCAAGCACAAGGGACCAAAGATTCTTTTAGTCACAACCACACTGCTTAGTAACAGCCTTTCCTAAACATTTATCAGCTTCCTGATCTGCTTATGTCAATATTTGTCCTCTCTAAGTTTCAATCTTAAAAACCACAGTGCAAACAAGAAGTTCCACTCTAAGAACATGAGTAACTCTCACATGCTGCATTTTTTATTTTTCCCTCTTTATTCTCATTCTGTGTTCTCCAAGAGTTGGTCTACCTCTCTTCTCACAACTGAGAGATGGCTGAACAATGCCTGTGTTAAAATTACTGGATGCTAATAAAGTTCATAATAAGATCTCACTGCTCTTCAATAAAAGTGCTTTGCTGCTAGTCATTTTTTCTGTACATCCTCAACTGGAGAGGAAAAGAGTAAGTTGAAGCTTTGCTGGCAGTAAGCCCCCTGAAGCAAGACAGCAAGAGCACAAGCATGCATCTGTTTCTCTGTATTAAAATATTAATAATATTTATTATATAATATATAATTGTAAATATAATTATATATTAAAATATTAATACTGAGAAAAATTAATATTAAAAATATTATTCCTGATTATTCCTCAAAATCAGCAGGCCCAAGGTTCTCATCCACTGGTTCTAGTAACTGTAGTGTAACATCCCTATCTTGTGGCACACAACACTTAAAAACCCACTTGAAGGCAGTTATTTCAGCTTTCCCTGCTCTCTACCATGCTGCTTATCCCATATTTATTCCTCACATTTGTCCACTGCATAAGCCTTTTTCTATTATTTATGACAATTACAGACTCGAACAGCTCTAGCACATCAGGATGGCAATTTATCAACTAGTGTAGTTAAAGAGACAGCAATGAAAATAAAGCAATGATGCAGGAATAGGCAGTAAAAACCAAAATAATGCTACGACACTTATATAGTCTGAATGAGAAAAAGGTAACTTACATTAAAAAAAGTAAATGGGACTACAAATAGAAGGAAAAACTACAGAAAGAATGCAGTTCTCAAGTTTCCTATGTCTTGATCCAGAATTTCTCAAATATTCCACACAGTGACTTCTCATGAAGATTAGAAAGAGCTAGTATCTGTAACTGTTGGCAAGAGCACAGTTCCTTTAGGGCCTGAAAGTGAGACTGAGCTTTAATTACTGGCTGCTAAGGTAAACACTCACTTCCACTCCCAGTGGCACTGATCTGCTGCCAGCAAACATGCACACAGGTAGTACCTGGCTAGGTACAAGTGTCTGCAGCCTGTAATTATAGCCACATCTCGTTCCCCCGCCTGGGAGGAACTGAGCTGCTGCTGCTAATAACAGCAGTAATAAAGTAATCAGGTAACTCAGCTGCCTTTTTTTCTTTTTTTTTTCTTTTTTTTTTTTAAATTTTGACTTATTATTTCTCTGATCTGTACTGATGTCTTTAAAGCCTCCTACAACTCATTTTGAGAAACACTGTTGTACTGTATTTTAAGTCTTTTTCTCAGTTCTGTCAATTTAGGTCTGGATAGTTAGTACAAGCAGAATAAATATAACATCCCTCTCATTCTTTGAAATACAAGTTTAGAAAATGGGTCTTTGAAATTATCTTACTAGTGCTAAGTGATTTCTTATCTGAATTTCAACCTTTAATAGGTAATTCTGCTACTGTTTGTAAGTATAGCAGGGTTTTTTTATTCCAATAGAAGCACAGACAATTTTTCTTTTTTATTTTTTAGCTGCACTGATTGAACATCCAGATGTGGCCATGACAAAACCAAAAAGACACCAAACAAAAAAAATCCCAGGTTGAAAGTAACCTACCAGTGTTTGGAACTGCCATATTTGCCCAGTGACAAAGTAACAACAAACAGTAACCAATGATTCTGAATACATTAATTGCATTTCTTCCCTTTACCTTTGCTTATGATATCTGACCATTTCATGACAGGAACACTCCATTAGTCTAACTGAAACTTCAAAGGAGCAGTTCTGAAACATGGCTTAAAGAGTAACACTGTTCTTTACTCTTTCAAATTATCTTTACATGTCTGCCAGCAGGCAGATGCTTAAGAGCAGACATCTCTCAGATGAGAGTAATAGTTTCTTATTGATGCTAGATGCAGAAGCAACATTAGGTCACAGAGAGATTGCTCCCAGTAGTATACTGAAGAGCCTTGTCTTATTTCATTTTTAATCTCAGGATGTCAGACAAGCCAACTAGGAAAAGCTATTGATTCAGAAACACTGCAATTCCTGGCCAAGCAGTAGCCAAGAATAATTTCATTTATATAACAGAATCTATTTTAAGCTCTGACTCAATGCTAACTCCTCACCACAGGTCAATAAGCAGGAAACGCGCCAGAGATCAGCTACAAGTGGCTGAGGTCCTTGCCTTACAGTTCAGGCCTATTTAGTATACGCATACAAACGTATTTTGTGAAAAATACATAAAATAATGCTACCATATTTTAGAATGCCATATTACAGAAATACCATAAGATACCAAAGGAGCTGAAGGGTGGAATCAAACTGGTTGAATAGGATAAGATAATTTCTTCATCTCCCCTCTCTTTTATGCTTACCCATCAAGACTTACAGACATTTTTATGCCGGATGTAAAATAAATCCTTTCTCTTTTGTCTTTGAAGACTAACTTTAGAGGAACAAACTAAGTCAGCTCCACAACTGCATAAATCATTTAAGATGGGTCTATTGCATTCTTCCTCCCCCTCCCTGTACGGAGGCTGGTAGTTGTTTGATCCTGTGGTGAGCTAGTTTAGTCGCCTAAACTATGCCAAACAAAGAGCTCCACCTTCAAAAACTCAGACTGTCATCTGATGAATCACATCACCACACAACCAGACAAGTATCAAAACCAGCAGAGGATTTCAGTGCAGCCCCGCCAACTTTGCACTTGTGAACTGTTCTGAAGTTGAACCCAGAAAGCAAATCAGATATGGGTCTCTCATTATTCATACATAGATTACTTATAAAAGACATTAAAAAAAAAAAACATTACCTGCAGATTGTTGAAATCTACCGTCATTACTTGACAGGGTTCTGTCAGAGGTACGTAACCTCCAGGAATACGACTGAGCTTCTCGGTGGTGTAAGGTTCAACAGTTTCCTCTGAACCAGCAGAAGCGTATGTTGGGCTAAAGAACTGCACTGAATTTGACAAGCGCACACCAGCAACTTCTTGCATTCCCACTCTGGGAGTAAAGGAAAAAAGGGAAGAAATGAAACTTCAAATAATTTGACCAAAAAACCCACAGGAAATTCTTCCCAGCCTGGCTAAGTATTTTTAAATGCACAGAGTGTAAGAATAGAAAAACTAAAAAATAATAAAACAATTCCGTGGGGTTTTTGTTACGTTCAGAGCAGCTCTGAAGCACAGAAGTGCACATCACTTTCAAGGATCAGAACTGAACGCTGTCACTAGAAACCGAGAAAAAGCCCAATATGTCCTTTGTCAAAGGCCACAGACTTTTGCCCCCCTAAGTACAACTCATTGAGTCTTGACAGAGAATTAAAAAGAATATACGCTGTGATAGCAAGACAAATAAAGCTTTTCTTCTGCTGCATTAGACAGATAATGAAGGTGTTTCTTTCAGGTGAACAGAACAGTCAGAACAAAGAGAGATATGCAATAGGAAAATGCATTTTTGGAGTCTTTCTGACATAAACATTTCATTTTGCAGTACCTTTATGTATTTATCAAGCACAATCTATGCAGAATAAGGCATTTTTCATAGTTACATAGCTGCAAAGAAAGTCTCAGCATTGATTTCTTGGTGGAAAAGGCTTTGACAACTCAGAATATACATATCCTCTCTTGTAAGACAGAAGATCAATTAGGTTTCTAGAAACAACCTTATACGGAAAGCTTCAAAGAAGAAAGAATGCTATAACTGCTTTAAAACAATTACTTACATACACTGTCCATCTCTTAGGTTTGAGTATTTAAGATATATTCTCATTTTCAAAGTACGACTCAGGAAGTTACATGAGATGAGTCTTGCACAAGCTACACTTTAGATCATTCTGAAAAAGTACATTTGTCTGTGAAGGACCTAGTGCTTCCCATTTAAATGACAGCTATCAAGCAAATCTACATTCTTATAGTGAGATCTAGCACTCAACTAGTTGTCATTTGAACTTCTAAGTTTCTACTTCTAGAAATATTTTTAATTCTGAATCACTTTCTCAGGAACCTCCCCTCCCTGCGAAAGATCTCCCTACAACAAGTATGACTAGACAGGCTGTCTGATAATATTCTCATCAGATACCGTCATCTCCTTGAAGCTCCCGATCGCAGAATTGAGTAAGTTGCCTTTTGTCATAACCTGGATTCTTCGGCAAATATATTTTGACCATTACGCATAGCTAAAATACAAAAACGAATCGGACGCCATCTTTGGAGCAGATTCCCTAGCACTAAAAGTATATGTGACATATAGAAAGCACAAAGTAGTAAGTACTTCACAATAAATACTAAAAAAAATACAGCAACACTTACAATCTTCTCACCTGTTCAGTGAAGTTAAAATATCTAAGTTACAACAAGGATAAGAATGTATTCTCCTTCATTTGAAACTGAATCCATGTATTATTTTAAAAGAAATACTACAACTAAACGAGAACAGCTGCTGTACGAGGCCTATATTGTGGAAGAGGTCAGCAGGTTATTACATTATCATGAACCCTTCTGGCTTCAATACCTAAGCACAGAAGTAGAGCCACTTTATTGCCTCTCTTTCTGGGGCCTAATTGACTAAAAATGAAACACTAAAAAAAACCTGAAACCTGTAATTCTTACAGTGATTTAAATTAAATTAACCCATATACTGGCATATTTTATTCAAAATTACTAAATACAGATGCACTAATGTAGCAGACACGTTCTAGAATATTGTTTTACTGTTACATATGACTCTTGAAAGGTATCTAGTTCAAACTTGAAAAACAATATGTAGTATACTCTGGTATCTTAAAAGTTTTGTGGAAGTCTATATTTATCCTTAGTAGAACTCAAATCTTCTCACAAGTTCGTCGGTTCATTTGTTCTTCTGGAAGTAAACACATTTCACATGGATGTGAAACAACCACTTCAAAGAGAAAGCAATGACTTCAGGAGAAAGTTAAAGCTAACCATAAAAAAACCCCCCACAACAAAATTACATAACACCACCACAGAGTTAGGCCCTACAGTCATTCTAGGGAACACAAGCAATGGGTACAAGCAGCACCAGCTATAGTAAAGAAACATTACAATTATCACCAAAACATCAAGTAATAAAGCTACAATAGGGGGTAAACCAGCACAAAACTTTTTGTAAAGTTGGCTTAAGCACACCAAAAATAGAATTACAAGAAAACCAATATGATTTATCTAGAATTTCACTATATCCTAGGAAAAAAACCCTAAAAACAATCAGAGCACAAGAAATGCAGCATAACTTAAAATTGCTAAAACAAAGGGACAGAATACAAAGCAGAAGATCAGATCAGACACAGATAGATGACTGATATACAAGATTATCAACAATTGGAGTGAAAGGGGATTCCCTCCCTCAGCAAGATGAATCAGTGTTTGATGATAGATTAAACACACTTTTAAATGTACCTCAGAAACAAACCCTCAAGTATTCATAGATTTCTGGGCTCTGCATCTACTTATAACCACTCAAAAAACCCCATTAAATCATGGGGAAAAGCTCAAAGAAAAGTTGTATTAATTGCGTAAGACAGAAACTGTGCTAGATGATATAAAAAGCATGAGAAAAGAGATACTTTCACACTGCTATTTCATGAGGCATCCTGCTCAGAAAAAAACATCCAAAACACAAAGTTTTGCTGTAGATCATGAAAACACTTAAGGAAACGTGGAGACATGCACATCAGAATAATTCAAAGAGATCTGGATAGTTTAAATATGAGAATAGGCAAGTGTTTTACATAAAGCTTAATAGGACTTGTTAAAATAGACTTAAGACAGGTATTCTTACTGGAGCAAAAAGGAATCTCAAACTACAAAGGCAGGAAATTTGAAGTGAAGTTATTCTTCTTCCTACAGCATATAATTAATTTGTGGCAAACATTTTAGTGCTAGCCACCCGACCTTAAGTTATACTATTATTAGTATTAATAATAATGTTAATATATTATTAATAATGGATTGTTAACTCAGCAATCCAAAGTTACAGTACATTAACTTTCATCCTGTTTAAATTTTGTAAGGAACAGTCAATGCCATGTTTCAAGGCAAAAACCTATCTTCTAATTGATGAATAATTAACTTCTCCTAAAAGAAACTTCTTCTATGACCATCTACTATGGGAACTTCTGTCTCTTTCTGGCCACTGTCCAGGTCTACTGCATTAGAAAAATCACTGATGCAGCTTCAGTACACTGAAGCTCCTGTAAAAGTTAAGTGTTTTCTTTAATCTGCAACAAGATTAATCCTAAACAAAATACATCAAGTCCAAACCTCCCAGACAGAGACTGTCTCCATACAGTGACACTGTTCTAGAAGATGAGAATAAAAATGAATATGAAAGTAGTTGATACACAGTCAGAACTGGTCTCAGCAAAGAAACCCTACTGTATGCTAGTTCAGAATTAGGCAAGGCACATACTCAGAAAGATAATGCTAGGTGGGGTTATTAACACTTAGGCTTTACAAAATCCTGTCCTCATTTTCTGAAAGGGTTAGATCCAGCAGCGAGGTATGGAGCAGATTATAAAGAGTGTAAAATGAGGATAAAGGCCAAGTGTTAATCCAAGAATGTCCAATACAGAAATTGAGAAGTAATTTTACTATGTCACGGTTTAACCCCAGTCAGCCACACAGATTAAGCACACAGCTGCCTGCTCACC